ATTTCACCCAACCCGTGAGGAGCGGCGTGTTCAGAGGATCAGGAAGGTCTCGAGTTGTGAATTCCTACCCGACTGCTTTTTCTTGATGCGATGTGGAAAAGTCTGGCTGGCTTCATCCCATTTCAGCAAGGGCTTTGGGATGCACATACTTCGACTAATAGTGAGGATGCTGACATTCCGTTCATTAGTCCGATCAAGCTGTTCTTAAATTACATTTTTAGAGTATCTAGTTCAAAATGTGAAGCATTTTTATGTTCGATCCATATTTGTCTTGCACATATATAAATATATATTTTATTTTTAGTAAGGAAAAGGAAAAAGGGGGAGTCGCGTACGTGCCCGTGTATTATTCATGACAGCAGCTGTGACAGCGGCCCTGCAATCAGTTTACTTCATTTCAAAACTTGTCTTTCCAATCATAAGGAGGAGGAAGAAAAACAAAACAAAAAAAGTCTTTTGAATGCGCTTCTAACATTTCAACCTGTGGATGTTTCAAGGTTTTTTTTCATCCTCAGTACGTTCCCAAATCTGTGCTGGCATATATTAAAACAACAACAACAACAAAAAAAAAAGACACAAAGTGGAGTTCTGGTGGATTTTTTCTATTTTTTTTGAAGCATTATTTTTTTCCCAAGACAAGACAAAGCTTTTTTCTCAGTATAACAAAAAGAAATTATATGTGTATCGAACTAGTAAATATACAGAAAATTTTATTTTTTATTTCCACTTGAAGAGTTACATTTCGTATAAAAGTTTACAAATAACGGTTTTTATTTTATGATTTTCAGTATAAGAGTTGCCTTGACGGCATTATTACGTACTGCATAACTTTAATGCTATAATTGCTTGTAGAATAGTTACATGTCAGTATTGAAACCTAATCTCTAGCTGCAGTCTTGTAGATACGAACAAATGTTCACTGAGCATGTATTTTGTATTTTATTGCATCGTACACCGCAACTAATAAGCCAAGGAACCGACAGACGTTAGGTGCGTGTACCGTTTCTATAAACCACAAACTAAGAATGATAAACTATCGATATAGTTTAGTATTTGCTAATTTTACTACACTTTTTGTTATGTATATGTAGGGAGGTCATAGGGATTATAAATTCAATTTGAGTAAAGTTTAAAAACCATATATTTTATGATAAAGGGCCTTTAACTTATGATGGCCAAAGCACTGATATTATATATTTGCTGTAAAGAGAATTATAAGAGTTTTATTTTTCTGATATTAAAAGTTACTTAATAAAGACTTGTTTCCATTAACTTGAAGGTTTTTCTGGTTTCAGACTTGTTGCAGCAAGTGGAGGCTGGGCTTGCCTGACCCACCCGTGGCCCTGATTTTTGGGGGTGGTTGGGTGACTTCATGGGTGAAAAAAAAAATCTTTGTTTTCCGTTCTCTGGGCAGCCTGTGCCAGGGCCTCACCCCCCTCACAGGGAACAATTTCTGCCTTAGGTCTGACCTAAATCTACTCCTTTTTCAGTTTAAAACCGTTACCTCTTGTCATAGGGCTACTGGTCTTAGTAAAATGGCTGTCCCCATCTTTCTTCTGAGCCCCCTTTCAGCCCTGGGAGGCCGCTCTAAGCTCTCCCCGGAGCCTTCTCTTCTCCAGCTGAACCCCCCAACTCTCCCAGCCTGTCCTCACAGGGGGGGCTCCAGCCCCCCCAGCATCTCCGTGGCCTCCCCTGGCCCCGCTCCAGCTCGCTGTTGCAGAAGAACCACCTGCGAGCAGGTTGTGCGGGTCTCCTGCTGCCTTTCCTCCCTGTCCGATGGAGGTTTACACCCCATTCCTGCTGCAAGGTGCCTTAACGCTTCCCCCTGAAGCCGTCGTGTCCCTTCTTTACCACCTCCTCTCTTTTTAAGCTCAGGTTTTGCAGTCTGAGTTTGCCCTGCACTGTCTCCTAAGCCGTGGCGCTGCCCGGTGTTGCGGTGTGTTCACACAAATCCATTCTTACTCCTTGTTGAAGCATCTTGCCTTATTTTTCACCCACTGAGCCTGGGAGAGGAAGCAATTCCGCTCCAGGGAGGAGGTTTGGAGCAAAGCAGAGCCCCTCGACCACTGCTGGACTCTTCCCTGGGCTGGAAAGCAACAGCACTTTAAAAAAAAAAAAAAAAAAAAAAAAAAAAAAAAAAAAAGCAATTTTATGGCCATTTGGCTTCAAAAGTTTTTCCTGCAGCTTGGTGGTATTGAAGGGTCCTTGCTGGGTCTCGGTGGGGTAATACAATAGGATATTGCTAATTTATTTTTTTTTCCAGACCTTATTTCTTACTATTCTTTGGGGAGAGGAAATAAAAAAAAAGCTGCTCCTGCCTGACAGTACGCATAAATAATTAATTTCTGCTTGGCCAAAGATTTTAGCTGCCTGAGGGCCACCCGTCCCCTTCATCATCTACTCTTCAAACAGCCCTGGAGGTGCTGGAGCCTCTACATCAGCCCGTGGTCCTCAAAGCCAACCACCCTGGAGCTCGTGTCCTCAAACCTAAACCTGTTCTGTTTCTTCAGGAGGTCGGCGAGGAAAACCTTTCTTTTTTAACCGTCTTTTTAATAGTAAGACTTGGAAAGAGCTCAGAGACTGTTTAAATTCACTTCACTCAAGTCTTTGGGTGGTTTTAGTGTTGCAGCGAGACGCCCCAGACAGAAAAGCTCGGGCGTTGGGGAGATGGCCCCTCGTTATTTCTAGATGTACATCAACCATCGTAAGCCCCGACCCCGCCAACAGGTTTTATTTAGCGGGGAGCAAGTGGCACCGCGGATCCTTCGGAGTTGCATAAGACAGGCACGAGCTGAAAAAAAAAAAAAAAAAAAAAAAAAAACCTATTTTTCCATGCTCAGGAGCACTTGTGATGAGTGAGTAACCCGCCTGGAATTTTAAAGCTTGTTCATGGAAAGGGAAGCACTCGCCACCGGGCATCGGCATGAGCCAGTCTGCCCTGCTGCCACCCGGGCTGGTTAGGAGAGCTAAACCATTTTTTTTTTTTTTTTTTTTACTTTCAAGGTGAAGTTTTAAGGAAGTATTCAGCTTGAAGTCTGGGTTGTTTTGTTTGGGTTGGGGTTTTTTTTTAACTTTCAGCCCCTGAAGTAACCCAACTCTTTTCCCAGCTGGGCTCTACGCTGCCCTGGAAGCTCCTGAGGCGGCTTTTCCCCAGGAGCAAGGGGGAAAATAGGGATGGGAAAGCTCTTCCAGCTGCTGGGGAGGTTGTTTTCTGCTCCGTGGGGCAGATATTGCTTGCTAGCAGTTGTACGAACCTCGTGGGGGGCAAAGCAGTGCCTGGAACTGCACGTCCCCGGGCTCAGCATCTCCCGGTGGGTCCTGAAAACCACCCAGGGTTTGGCTGTTCCTGCTCAGCCATCCACGGGGATCACACTCTGGGACAGTAGGTACAGCACAGGAGCTGGCAACAAAAATGCTTTCAGTTTAAAACAAAAATAAAAATAAATCCCTTCGCCGTTTCGTGCTGTTCTTTCTGTGAGCAGCCGGGCTGGTGCACTGGGGGAGAGAACTGTGCTCAGATCTTCTCCTCGGCCTTGGAACCAAAACTCCCTTCTCTCAGCGAGTGAGGGTGCTGAGGGAGCTCTGGCAGAGGCACCCGGGCGATGCTTCCCTTGGGATGAGCCCCCCAAGGCATCAGGACTCAGGAGCTGAGGTGGGTTTGGGCTTAGACTGGAGAGTACCTCGAGGGTGGGGAGGCTCTGCAGAGAGACCTGGGCAGGCTGGAGCCATGGGCTGAGCCCAACTGGGGGAGTTTCACTGAGGGCAAATGCCGGGGGCTGCCCTTGGGCCACAACAACCCCCAGGGGGGCTACAGGCCTGGGGAGGAGTGGCTGGAGAGCTGCCGGTCAGAGAGGGACTGGGGGGGTGAGAATGAGCCAGAGTGTGCCACCAGCTGCCTGCACCTTGCCAGCACAACCCACCCTGCCCACAGGTCCCAGCTGCTGAGGAGGGATTGAGTCTTTCCTGCAGCGTCTTCCACTAAAAGTGCTCCTCAGTTACCAGCTCTGGCTGTGCTGGCAGACTGGGAACAGATTCCTGGCACACTGAGGCAGAAGCTCACTCAATCACAGGTGAATTTTTCTCCAAACAGAATGCCAGAATCATCTGGGTTGGAAAAGCCCTTGCAGCTCCTCCAGCCCAACCATGACCCTCCCCCTGACCGTTCCCAACTCCCCCAGATCCCTCAGCGCTGGCTCAGCCCGACTCTTCAACCCCTCCAGGGATCCCGGGGACTCCCCCCTGCCCTGGGCAGCCCATTCCAACGCCCAACAGCCCCTTCTGCACAGAAATCCTTCCTCAGAGCCAGCCTGACCCTGCCCTGGGCAGCTTGAGGCCATTCCCTCGGGGCCTGGCGCTGGCTCCTTGGCTCCAGAGACTCATCCCCCCTCTCTGCCCCC